CTGGAAAGAGCTCTAACCATCGCTCATCCAGGGCACGCTTAAATGCAGTCCTGCTTCCTAAATCTACTAATTCCTTTGGCAACCTGCTCCAACTGTTCACTACTCTGTTACTGAAGAAGCTGGATCTAACAACCACGTTGCAATGTTGTTTATGTACTTTATACCCATTACCTCTAGTTCCTTGGTGGATAGCCTCTTGGAACTTGCCTTCTTTCCTTACTCCCGAGAGCCCTTTCACAATCTTAAAGGTCTCCAGTAAGTCCCCTCTTAGTCTCCTTCTTTCTAGCGAGAAGAGTCCCAAGTCTTTTAGTCTGTCTTGGTATAACTTACCCTTTTGACCCTCAATCATTCGGGTGGCTAGTCTTTGAAATTTCTCTAAACAAGCTTCATCCCTTTTGAAGAAGGGTGCCAAATCCTGCACGCAGTACTCCAAGTGCAGCCTAACTACGGCTTTATACAGGGGTAGAAATAAGTTGGGTTTCCTACACGATAGTACCAACTTGAGTCAGCGCGTTTGTTGGTTGACATGCTGGACCAGGGTATTTTCTCTTACCATACCTACCAGAAGTTCGCCGAAACTGCCTCTTAGGGCAGTACCTTCCTCCCAGTTAGCCTTAGGGGCATTAAAGTCCCCCAGCATTAGTATGCTCCGATGGTATTCTGCTACTTTCTGGAGGAGAGCCATCAGAGTTTCATCTTCACTGCGCTAGGATGTAGGACTGTGGTAACAGCATAAGATGGTTATTTCCCTGTGGGGCAATTTCACTATGGTCGTCACCACCCGGAGGTTTGGTGTGATTGTCCGCGACCCATCATATTGCTCATAGTGCTGTCCCACTAGCAGGAGGGCACCACCGCAGGCTCTACCATCCTGCCTATCAGCCTTGGTTTTAGTGTAGCCCGTGGGGCATTGGGCTATTATGCTCTCCTCGGGTCGCAGGCACGTTTCAGTGACTGCAAATATATCTGCTCCCTGAGAGCGCATCTTAAGCACAGTTCACTTGTTCCCTATACTCGCTACATTAGTATGGGTGACAAGTAGTCCCAACCCCCCCTTTGGATATGTGTCCTATCATGGGAGTTGTGGTGCGGCTCGGAATCTAGGTCCGAACATCACGACGGTTTTTTTGTCGGAAAGCTTTGCCATTATGGTTCACTTCGATGTGGGACCTTTTTTCTGCTCCGCAGGCCCCGGGTTTTTCTGGGGACTTTAAGCTCGCCAGGTATGTTCCACGACTGGTGGTTAACGGACTCTTATCTGGGCACACCTTTGTAACAGGGGTATCTCCTGAAATGCGCCTCTCAGGCGACCCTTGTATCCTTTCTACCAACAGTAGTGGATGCTTTAATGTACCTTATTAATTACCAAAGCTATACCTCACCTAGTTTTCGCTCGAATTATTTGACTTAACTTCGTGGCACATGCAAACCAGGTAGCTATGACCACTTTCTAAACAGAACCTCTATCAGTACACCGTTTCAGCTTCAAAGCTGTATCTGTGGTACACATTCCATCCTGGTACACATCTTAGAAGCATTGTGACCATTAATTCATTTACGTGTACATACCTAGCTGTACATAGACATGTATACACACAGGTATAAACCACCCCTATTATTCCACTTTTCCCTTCCCCGGAGGAGGAGGTCACTATCAACAACTAAGGGGTAAAACAGACCGTAGAGCTAAAAGCGAGTCCAGAAAAGCGACTCGAGTCGGTGAATGGGCCAAATACGGCAGTTGAGCTAATGGGGACCAAAAACGAGAAGAATAAAAGGAAGCCCAGAGGTGCTAATGACAAAATAACAAAAGAACAACAGCAAACTGTCGGGCAAGATAAGGGATTAGAAGACATGAAGGATAAGACGTCAGCTTTGGAAGGAGAATTCCACAACATTGCCAAAACCCTGTCCGACCTCCAGCGGGCAAGTGAATTCGCCTTGGGAAGATACAGTAATGTTGTAGTCAGAGGAATTCCTGAACCCTTCATGAAGGAAGGGCGCATGAGGGATCAAGCCAAGATATACCATGTGGTGGACCTACTTAGGTGTGCCAACTTGCCAGGCCATTTGGCTAACAAAAGAATATTGCGTCCAGGAAAACGGAAGGCTAGCAGCAGCAGGGAAAGTGAACCCAGACCCGTCTTGGTTGAGTTCACAAACCTGAGACCCAGGGACTGGTTTCTTGCTGCGGCTGATAAAATTGGGACTGCCACAAAAGCAGGTCTAACGGTACAACCTGACAACAGTGGGAAATGCAGGGGAAAATCAGCGGCAGGAGTCGATTGCTAGTCAGATGTAGGCAAATCTGTCTTCTAATTAGTCGCTCCAGGCACTTACACAACGCTGACGTTAGGCTAGCGGGTCTGTAGTTTTCTGCTTCATTCTTTGATGCAGCCTTATGCAGTGCTACTACGGGAGCAGTACGCCAGTCCTGGGGTAGCGTAGCTTTTTGTAGTGATTCCCTAAAGAATACAGTCAGCTGCCCGGTTAGCACCCGGCCAAAAGCTGCACCATGGCTGGATAAATTCTTGTATAAGGTTCGCCTGTGTTAGAGTTTTCAATTCCGCACAAATTTTCTTCTCTAGTTCACTTGGATCGTCTGGAGTATTGTCAGGTCTAAACCTGGTTTCGTCCCGTAAGATACGCAACATCTTATCTTTGTAGTCTGACTTATCCATCACTACTATACCGGAACCCTTGTCGGGGCGCAGCACTAGAATGCTTCGATTAGCTTTCAGTTGTTTTAATCCTTCGATGTGTTCATCGGTAAATAAGGAGTTCTGTTTTGTGCTTGTTATCCGGTACTGATTCTCTATATCCACGAGTTTGGCTTTAAACCAGCCCAAATCATCCTCATTCGTCGGCTTCATATTTGACAACTGATCAAAAAAGGATTCAAACACTGCTTTAGATTCAATATGATTGCTCCTCCTTGGCTGAATACAATAATTTAGACCAACTGATAAAGCTTCGAGTTGCAATCGATTCAACCGATAAGACGATAAATTGCAGACATATTTTTCAGCATTTTCAGGAAATGAAGAATTCATCAATTTGTGGTTCAATGACTTACTCAATCTCTCCATTTCATACATACGCGTTTGACGAACCTTTTCACAGCCGACGAATGAGGATGATTTGGGCTGGTTTAAAGCCAAACTCGTGGAT